GTTTTTTACCTTTAATACATTTTAATACCCTGATATGAAAAATAAATTTAAAAAATAAAAAAAATTATTTTAAATTATATTTAAATAAAATATATTTTTAAAAATAACCATAATTATAATTCAAAACTCTACTTAAATATGCTAGAAAATGTCAATTCTCTTAAAAATCTGATCAATATTTGACTAAACTGAATTAGGTTTGATTGATTTTAATAGAATATCAGTATATCTAATTTATAATAGTTATCTAAATCGGCTGTATAGTTGTTATTATCATCATGGGTGTTATTTAACTACTTGCTGACCAATTTTAAAATTAAAATTTAACAACTCTTCTCTTTCGTGAATCTCCTTCTTCCTTTTTCTTGGTACAACCGAATCATTATTATTATGTACATTACCGAACTACTTGCTAATAATTTTAAACCCATGACTTGCCCGAATTTAATAACAATTTTTTTGGAGGCCTTAGCATATTACGTGCTTGTATGAATTTCTATATTTCTTTTCTCCCTTTGTTTTCGGGTGCAATCATGGATCTTCTATTGAAAAAATACAAGAGATTTGTAGCGTATGGCAGGCTTGTGTGTTCACATGAATGGAGAAGCAGCAAGTCCACGCTTCCTAAAATTAAGGCTACTATTATACCGGGTTCATCCTCGACAAATACAAGAAAACACTTGTTGACCGTAGGTATATGTCCTATTCAATCCATCTCCACGGCATCTGGCATGAATAATTAATAGCCATTATACTGCGAATTTTTGCTCCTTTCTCCACTATACAACATCAGTAACTATCACAACCTAATATATGTCACTGGATTTGGTCGGGGAATGTTTTAGAGTGATTTGATAATTGTTTTTTAAATTTTTTTATTTTAAAATATATTAAAATAATATATATATATATATTAAATAATTTATAATATCAACATTTTAAAACAATTTAATAACAAAAAAAATATTTTAATTTAAAAAATTATGAAACACGGGATACACCGAAACCCGGCATAACCTATTATAGTCTTTGGTCAATCTGGAGACCGCGAATACTCGATTTTTCCATGCCAAACTTTGAAAATTCGTACAAAAAATCAGCATCTCCCAACGGATATGCATGATTCCTCTATATATTCACAGGGACGGTTTTGGATGGCTATGGTTTCCTGGCCACCTGTCGGGGAATGTTTTAGAGTGATTTGATAATTGTTTTTTAAATTTTTTTATTTTAAAATATATTAAAATAATATATATATATATATTAAATAATTTATAATATCAACATTTTAAAACAATTTAATAACAAAAAAAATATTTTAATTTAAAAAATTATGAAACACGGGATACACCGAAACCCGGCATAACCTATTATAGTCTTTGGTCAATCTGGAGACCGCGAATACTCGATTTTTCCATGCCAAACTTTGAAAATTCGTACAAAAAATCAGCATCTCCCAACGGATATGCATGATTCCTCTATATATTCACAGGGACGGTTTTGGATGGCTATGGTTTCCTGGCCACCTCCCCGAAGTTTGAAAAGTTTCAAAAAAAGTACCCATGTGCTTATCAATTTTTTTAAAAATATTTTTATTAAATACCCCCTTCAAAATCTAAATTATTAGGTCTCCCTTACTAATTATGTGTTTATTTTAGAGGTGGAAGTTGAGGTTTAGGTGTTGGATTCGTCAAAAACATTAAAAAAAATAGTTTTTATAGTTAAATTTTATGTTTAATTAAGTTGTAACAAATCACAACTGCAACTACAAAAGTTAAAACAAATTTCTTTTAAAGAGCATTTGAGTCGGGTAAACATGCCACTTGTCGTTTCCAGTTCCCTAATGAATATGTTTTTTTCTTTGATATTGCTCATACTTTATTACAGTGAATTGCAGGAAAAATTTTCAGGTAACGTCTTTCTCTTCCCAAACCTTAAATCACTGGATCTATCATATAACGAAGGCCTCACTGACTCTTTTTCTTCGTTTGATTTAAGTAATGTTCTTTCTCTGTTGGGTCTTTCTAATACAAGAATTTTAGTTTGTTTAGAAAACAACTTAATTAGTAATCTAAAGTCATTAAAATATGTCTCTTCATAATTGTAACATTATAAGGTCAGATCTAACCCTGCTCGGTAATCTCACATAGCTCATCTCTTTATAGCTCTCAAATAACAATTTTAGCGGTTAGCCCCCATCATTATTTGGTAATCTCATACAACTCATTTATTTAGACTTCTCAAGTAACAATTTTAGCGATCAGATCCTATCATTATTAGGAAGCCTTATGCAGCTTTATGTGTTGAATCTCGATTCCAAAAAATTTATGGGTTAAGTTTCAGATTCTTTGGATAACTTAATCCATCTTTCAGAATTAGATTTATCAAATAATCAACTAGTAGGCCTTATCCATTCTCAATTAAATACTCTTTCAAATCTACAATATCTATATTTATTTGATAACTTGTTCAATGAAACAATATCATCCTTGATGAATCCTCAATCTTATTATTGTCAAGATCAAGAACTTGTAACATTGTGCAGTTGATGAGTAAACAAGTTATTGTTTCATTGAACAAGTTATCAAATAAATATAGAGATTGTAGATTTGAAAGGGTATTTAATTGGGAATGGATAGGGCCTACTATTTGATAAATTTAATTTTGAAAGATGGATTAGACTACCTAAAGAATCTGGAACTTGACCCGTAAATTTATTGGAATCGAGATTCAACACATAGAGCTATACAAGGTTTTCTAGTGATGATGAGATCTGACTACTAAAATTGCTATTTGAGAGGTATAAAGAGGTGAGCTGTGTGAGATTACCGAGCAGTGTTAGATCTGACCTTATAATATTGCAATTACGAAGAGACATATATTATAATGATTTTAGATTATTGATTAAGTTGTTTTCTAAACAAACTGAAATTCTTGTATTAGAAAGACTCAATAGAAAAATGACATTACTTAAATTAGATGAAAAAAAGGAGTCAGCGAAGCCTTCATTATATGGCATATCTAGTGATTCAAGGTTTGAGAGGAGAAAGATGTTATCTGAAAATTTTTCCTGTAATCCACTGTAAGAGAGTATGAGTGATGACAAAGAAGAAGAGAGATGCATCTAGTCCTGTATTTAAACATTCTTATGGACTGAATTTACAAACAAAAATAAATATTGGCAATGAAAATTAGAGCTAATTTTCTAATTTTCTCCGACAGGCAATTTTTTGAAATTTCGAACCCCATAGAAAAAAAAAAAGGAAAGGAAGAGGAAAAAGAAAAAGAAGACGATAATGATAATAAAGGGAAAGGAGAGGAGGAAAAGAGCGTTCGAGTCAATCTTTCCATGGTCACAAGGGGAAGAAGCTAGAAAGTGAAAGAAAAGCCATTTTGCGTCACACAATTCATGAAGAAACCACATTATGATGCGAGGCGTGGGTTGTATTTTACTTATCATGATGATCCCCACGAGAAGCAGGAGGCTATACCATACCAGTAAAATGATCAACGGGCCCTACATCAGACTTGACCAATAATTAACGAGTCAGACCTCATCAGACAGAAAGACTTCTTACCCGTGAAAATGAAAACGAACTGCCTTGAATCTTACTGCCTGTGTAACCCTCCACCGAATTTGAGGAGAAAAATAGTTTAAATTGATGGCAGAGAATGTTGTTAATATTTTAGGGCCCTGGAATGTAGAGGAAGCTGTCCATTTACACGTTTAATACAAAAAAAATTCGAAGCATGGTTTATTTCATGGGAGTTACGGAACATGAACACAAGAACAGGGCAAAAATCTCTAGTCTAACGATGCTTATTTGCTTAGAACCCTCTAGAAAATAAAGTCGGAGATGAGAACGAGCATTATTGTGGATTTTGAAAAGCAACCAACCGCTGGGATTAAAAAACCAGGGCCCTAGCTATCATGATTTTGCTGTGACAATATGCAATCAATCAATCGTTTGGTATCACCTTCACACCTTTTTTCCGCCAAAGCCAAAAAAAGCTAAGCATGCATTTTAATTTTCTCACATGAAAAGGATTGTAAATTCGGGCAATGTTACCGACTTACTGGGAATCTTCATGTGCACAAGGTAAAACAGAGCTTTCTCGAGAATTTTTTATCCTTCAGCGAAGCGAAACAAAGTTTCTATTTTCTACTGGGCTGACACCCTGGAGGGCGGTGGCTTATATTGCTGGATGTGTTTTATGATTAATATTTTGTAATAGTTTTAATGTGTAATATTAAAATAAAAAGAATATTTTAATATATTTTTCAACAAAAAAATCACTTTAAAAAATGCTATGGACTTCACTGCAATATCACGCAACACCCACTGCATAGAGGCAAATAAAAACCACTCATGGGTTCATTGATATAAAGAGGAGGAGGAGGAGGAGGAGATATCACCTTGCATTTTTTATCGGTACTAGAACAAATGAAATTATCCAATTAAGTACATGAAATGCAACTGCAATTAAATAAACATCCGCAAACAAAATTAGACTACCTCGACAAGCAGTCCTCTCAAAAGCTCTCAAGATACAGTGATGATTATGGGATAGAAAGTCAACCTAATTAAAAAAAAAACATGGATTAAAGAAATCATTTTACAATATACTCCGACATAGACGATCAATGGAAATCATGGTAAAAAAAACTTACTATCTTAATTTACCCTTGAAGAAATCACATTAAACCAAGAATTTAAATTCTATTAATGTCCAAATCACACCCCACACTGAAAATGAAATTATTGCCCCACCCTACCAAAAAGTAAAAAGAGAAAAGGAAAAGGAAAAAAGGAAAATTAACCCACACATTCCCTAAGATTAAAAAAAGGTATGAAATGGTCCCCTTGAACGACCATCTTGACATTCTACCAAAACAACAAAGACCCAGAAACAATCAAGATCACAAAACCCTCCACGTGTATGCTCCAGATTTCTCCGCGTGTACACGTGACCTACAAAAACCCCAAAACCCCTCTTTTCATAGTTGGTAATAGAAAGACATGACAACCTCTCCCCAGCTTCAGTTTTACAGCAAAACAGACAGGGAGCGACAAAGAAGCAGAGAAGAGAGAGAAAGAGAAGAGGCATGCAAAGCATAAAACATGTTTTTCTCTTTTTCCATTCTTGACCCTCCATATTTACTTAATTCACATGCGAGCACCTCTCATTCATTGCTCTCGAGTTTCTTCTTAGCTTCAAATATTTTGACTTTCTCTAATGGCGGGACCAGAAGCAGAAGCAGAAGCAGGACGAGCAGTCCCGGACATGGAAGCAGTGCTGGATTTTCTACGCAAAAATGGTTTAAAGGACGCGGAGTTGGCTCTCAAAGAGGACATGATCGAGAGAAGTAATGAACTGGGCTCCTTTGACTTTGAGAAGTTCTTGTTTGTACTGCCACCCGTGAGGGTTCCGTCGAGTGTCCGGCAACTGGATGTGGAAGAAGGTGGTGGCGCCGTTGAGAGGTTGAGATCGAGTTCTGGGTCTCCGTCGGACGATGAGTTTGTTAGCTTGGGGTCTTCTACTAGTGCTAGTGAAGTGTACTCTTCAGGTACTGGTTGATGCTAGATGGAATTTTTTTTCCGGTTGATTTTGATTGAATTTTGATTTTTGGTCGGTCGGTTTTTCTTCAATTATAATCTCTTGTTTGATCAAGGAATTATGTAAGAAATCCTTAAATGAAAGCAAAATCCTGTAGAAGATGAAGAAATGCGCAATAGATTAGAATCTGAAGTCGTGTTTTATGTTATGCTATTAATATAAATTTCAAAAGCTCGACCCGAGTCTGTTGGTCAATTATATTGCTTATGATGAGGCACATACACTTCGTTTTTAACTTGTAATATATCGTGAAAAAATTAGGATTAAGAATTTATTTTTTGTTTGTGTCATCTTTGGTTAGGGGTCAATCTATTTTCTCTGAATTGGTCCAATTTAATCAGCTGTGTCAGAGGGGACACGCGATGTTGTTAGATTCGAATTTTATTTTTAGTCGATTGGTAGATGATATAAGGTAGTATAAGATGCTGCTTTTTTCAAATTGATATGCATTTGATTCTTTTACTAGAGCATGAATGCTGTTAGTCGAATTTTATTTGGTAGATGATGTTGTTAGATTCGAATTTTATTTTTAGTCGATTGGTAGATGATATAAGGTAGTATAAGATGCTGCTTTTTTCAAATTGATATGCATTTGATTCTTTTACTAGAGCATGAATGCTGTTAGTCGAATTTTATTTGGTAGATGATGTTGTTAGATTCGAATTTTATTTTTAGTCGATTGGTAGATGATATAAGGTAGTATAAGATGCTGCTTTTTTCAAATTGATATGCATTTGATTCTTTTACTAGAGCATGAATGCTGTTAGTCGAATTTTATTTGGTAGATGATGTTGTTAGATTCGAATTTTATTTTTAGTCGATTGGTAGATGATATAAGGTAGTATAAGATGCTGCTTTTTTCAAATTGATATGCATTTGATTCTTTTACTAGAGCATGAATGCTGTTAGTCGAATTTTATTTGGTAGATGATGTTGTTAGATTCGAATTTTATTTTTAGTCGATTGGTAGATGATATAAGGTAGTATAAGATGCTGCTTTTTTCAAATTGATATGCATTTGATTCTTTTACTAGAGCATGAATGCTGTTAGTCGAATTTTATTTGGTAGATGATGTTGTTAGATTCGAATTTTATTTTTAGTCGATTGGTAGATGATATAAGGTAGTATAAGATGCTGCTTTTTTCAAATTGATATGCATTTGATTCTTTTACTAGAGCATGAATGCTGTTAGTCGAATTTTATTTGGTAGATGATGTTGTTAGATTCGAATTTTATTTTTAGTCGATTGGTAGATGATATAAGGTAGTATAAGATGCTGCTTTTTTCAAATTGATATGCATTTGATTCTTTTACTAGAGCATGAATGCTGTTAGTCGAATTTTATTTGGTAGATGATGTTGTTAGATTCGAATTTTATTTTTAGTCGATTGGTAGATGATATAAGGTAGTATAAGATGCTGCTTTTTTCAAATTGATATGCATTTGATTCTTTTACTAGAGCATGAATGCTGTTAGTCGAATTTTATTTGGTAGATGATGTTGTTAGATTCGATTTTTATTTTTAGTCGATTGGTAGATGATATAAGGTAGTATAAGATGCTGCTTTTTTCAAATTGATATGCATTTGATTCTTTTACTAGAGCATGAATGCTGTTAGTCGAATTTTATTTGGTAGATGATGTTGTTAGATTCGATTTTTATTTTTAGTCGATTGGTAGATGATATAAGGTAGTATAAGATGCTGCTTTTTTCAAATTGATATGCATTTGATTCTTTTACTAGAGCATGAATGCTGTTAGTCGAATTTTATTTGGTAGATGATGTTGTTAGATTCGATTTTTATTTTTAGTCGATTGGTAGATGATATAAGGTAGTATAAGATGCTGCTTTTTTCAAATTGATATGCATTTGATTCTTTTACTAGAGCATGAATGCAGTTGGAAATAGCCTGTAAGATTTCTGCTAGCATATATTCCGAGCAACAAAACCGCCCTTCTCTTATATTTCACCTTCCTTAAATGTTTTTCTGTCATATTTGGAAACATTATATGTCTAAAATGCCACTCAATTTCAGAAAAATTGCAGATTCTACTGTTCTTATTAACACACTGGCTCATCTTCATCATTTATAATCATATATTCTCTGTTTTCACCCCCGTCAATAGTCCATCATTACTTCATCTGCAGAATATGAAAATCAGTATGTTACTCAAGACACCGATTCTGTCTTCATTTAATCACTGGGAATCAAGTTTGAGAATGCACTGCATAGCATAACCATCCTTTGGTGTATGCATTTTATAGAAGCCTGCATGCAGAATGGAAGCGAGATACTTAGTAAGCCACTGCACTATTACTAATACCTTGTGTTGTATTAGCAAAATTACAAAAATCTTTAAAATACTCCAATTATTTCTGGTATCTTGCCATGGTTATTCTTTCGTGCTTTGTGCATGTAGGTGGGCTGCTGTTGTATTAATTTTAGCTGGTGGGGCAATTGAACATTCTGATGCCTTTTCATTTCTGCAGAATTCTCAAATCCATATGGACTTCGTTCCACATCGCAGGCCAATTCAGAAACTTCATCTGATAGGCTCTCTCAGTTTGGCACAGCACGTGATTACCCAGATTTTGATATGAAAAATGACTGGTATGATGAGAAAGAGGAAGGGCACTTCATGAGTCCCTGCTTCAATGGCCCTGACTACTTTGGCTGTCCAAGCGAGGATAAGTTTGTCATGACATCTGAGACTGGGAAGCAATTTGAGAATTCCTTGGGTTTGTATGACAAATCTGAAGGTGAAACACAAGGAAACATCGATTACTTGGATAAGCAGTGTCTTTACAATGTCACATCTGTGAATAATAAAAACGAGGCTCAATCTATGAATTATCATCATGATTTTGATAAAAAAACCCAGCTTGAAGGAGACATTGATAGGGATGGTAGTTCAGCCTACAATTGCAAATTCTTCACAGAAACAGGAGGGATTTATGGCAAGAATTCTGTTGACTGTATCTATACGAGCTCCAAGGGACCTGATTTAGGTGACTTTCAGTTAAAAGTTGTGGAAAGCCCTACTGATTATGATATAGTTCCTGTGCATACGGAAAACAAGAATGCTAACTACTATGGTATAAAAGTTTCCAAAAGTGACTGGACTGAAGGGTTTAAAAGTACCTCTGGCATTGTAGAAAATGGAATTGATGACTTTGAAGTTGGAGATGGTGGAGGAGTAAATGGAGAAACCCATGAGCTTGCAGCTGCTATTGGCGGAGAAGATGTTAATGCTAACGAACTTTTGATGTACTATAACCAGGAGGATGAATATGAAGTATTCAATCTGCGAGTTATACACAGGAAAAACAGGTTCTTGGAGACAGTTACTAACTATACTGTTTTCTTACATTATGCCTCCAATTTTGCCATGGATATCTAGCAAGATAGTTTAAAATTGGGTTCGAGCTCGCATGAAATAATCAAATTAGCCCAACTTTTTGTGTCAATGCCTAGCCAGCTGGTCTTAAATCAGTAGGATTTGATATGGCTTGAGAAAAATACCTACCAGTTTCTCAATGCTAGCAACTTATCCACCCATTCTTAACCAGAAGGCACAGACTTGCCTCCATAGAGAATTTTCTCTCCTATTATTGTTGGTCTTGTGGTCATGGAATTGATCCTGCTGATAGTACTTTGTTTTCATGGAGATCTGATGCTTGTGCAATGCAGGTTAAATGGTTAGAACACTGTAATCATTTTTTTATGCCATATGCAGGACTGGATTCGAGGAAAACAAGGATCTGCCTATTGTGCTAAATAGTGTCATTGCAGGCAGATATTATGTCACTGAATACCTAGGTTCAGCTGCTTTCAGTAAGGTCATTCAGGCACATGATCTTCACACAGGAATAGATGTTTGCCTGAAGATTATTAAAAATGACAAAGATTTTTTCGATCAGAGTCTAGATGAAATTAAGCTTCTGAAAATAGTGAACAAGCTTGATCCGGCTGATGAACGTCACATTCTGCGCCTTTATGACTACTTCTATCACCAAGTATGTCTGAAAAAGATGGATTGTTAAATTTTTCTGCAACAAATTGACATGGTTTTGTTAATTGCTCTCCTTCTATAGATGCTATTTTGTTTATGTTACGAGAATTTTATGCCATCCTATTACTGGTCATATTCTTGAACCTCTGCTAACCTTTTCTAATTAATAAACATTTACAGGAGCATCTCTTCATCGTTTGTGAACTCCTTAAGGCGAACTTGTATGAATTTCAGAAATTTAATCAAGAATCAGGTGGTGAAGCTTACTTCACTCTCAGCAGATTGCAGGTTAGTCAGGTTAAGCCTTGAGCCATATTGGCATTCCATCTGATTCATTGGTGCGACCTCTTGCTTTTACCAGGTCCACAGTTGTTATAGAAATTAGTGTAATGTCTTCAAATAAACTGACCTACAACAGACAGTTTGAAATATGTATTAACAGTCAGCTATCGGTTGTTTGTCTCACAGGTCATAACCCGTCAGTGTTTGGAGGCACTAGAATACTTGCATCACTTGGGAATTATTCACTGTGATTTAAAGCCTGAAAACATTCTTATAAAGAGTTATAGGAAATGCGAGATAAAGGTTATTGATCTCGGAAGCAGTTGCTTTAAGTCAGACAACTTATGCCTTTATGTACAATCTCGTTCCTATAGAGCTCCTGAAGTTATTCTAGGTCTCCCCTATGACCAAAAGATTGACTTATGGTCTCTCGGCTGCATCTTGGCTGAACTGTGCTCTGGGGAAGTATGTCTGCTTTGCTTTGCTTCATTCAGTAAAATTACAGTGGATATTGCTGTTAGTTATTCCTTCCCATGGATGGCTTGACATTCAATGATTATTTTTTCTGGTAACCTATATCATTTGCTCTGAGTTGTCAGGTGCTCTTTCCAAACGATGCAGTTGTAATGATCCTCACGCGCATGATTGGCATGCTGGGTCCTATTGATCCAGAGATGCTGGAGACAGGACAGGACACGCACAAGTACTTTACAGAAGAATATGATCTCTATCATTTAAATGAGGTTTGTCAAATTTCTTTCAGTTTGAGAATAGATGCGGACTAGCAGACTGTTGAACTTTTTACCTTTATGCATTCAGAATATTCAGGATGGAGGGAAAGATTGCATTCTCATAAGTTCTGCATTCATCAACTTGTGGTTATTCATTTTAAATACATTGCTCTAGGCACATGATAGTTAAGGAGGGAAAAGGTGCTTTCTGAAAGTTTCACACAACAGTCACACCGAAAAAACTGGTTCATAACCAAACTCAATTTATCAAAATCAGATAATATAGATATTATAGATGATAATGAATAAAAAAAATCTAAGAAATGGATATTACAGGTCGAGATTTTTGAAACCTAGTCAATCCATATATATCCAATGCAACCCTGTTGGTTATCATAGCTAAATTGGTTCTTATATTTTAGTCAATTTATTCATTGATATATTAAACTTAAATTGTTTGTTACAACTTATAACAGGTCTTGAGTTAGTTTATTGAGCCCAAATCTTGGTTCTAATTAAGCTCAATCCATTGAAATTATACACGTCCAATCTTTGAATATCTGTAATACCACAAAAAAATTAGCTTAACGTGATGTATCTAACCCCTAGGTTAAAAAAAGAAGAGATGAATGGGTTGGGTTGGGTTTACACTTTATAAAATATTAGAAGTTGAGTTGGGTATAATTTTAGCTCAAACTTAATCCAACTAAATCCATGAACACCCTAAGTTACAACAACTTATGTGTTTTTTTATGTATTATCTTGAGAAAGGACCAATAGGTGTATGACTCCATATCTATGCTTTGAGTGTTTAAAAAGGTGTGCACACTATAGTTTCAAAACTCGAACTCATTTAGTGCGGTCGACCCAATACTTGGCTGATTCAGGATTTGGACTGGTTCGGGTTGAAAAAAAAAAAAAAAACTTGACTGACCCAGTCAAAAACTTGGGTTGATCTGCAGATCCGAGCCTAACCCCATCAAAACCCGGCTATCAAACCATTGACTTTTTTTTTTGTTAGGTAAGTTTTGTTGTATTCAAGGATGATGTAATATATTTACCAATCAAGACTAGTAGATGACTGATTTCACCAGCCCCAATTTACTCATACCTGGCTTGCAATGTCCAGGAGACAAATCAAGTAGAATTCCTTATTCCTGAGGAATCTTCACTGGAGCATCATCTACAAGTTTCCGACGTTGGGTTCATTGATTTTGTGAGAGACTTGCTAGAGCTCAACCCCCTGAGGCGTCCAACTGCAAGGGAGGCCCTAGAGCACCCATGGCTTTCACATTCATACTGAGTCCGATTCTGACTGAAGTTGTGGATGAGGAGTCACTACTAGTGGCTATGTATTTATGTCTCTTTCTTGTCTCTGGAGTGCAAGCTTCCAGTACCAGTTTTGGTATAAACCACATCAGATATATACACGCATTCTTTTTTTTTTTTTTGTTGAACTCGTATTTATTTTGTACAGGAAGTTTTCTTGCATTTTCTTTTCTTCCTTCACTTGGTGGGGCTTTGTAAGTATCATTTGATTGGAAACAGAAGGACAGTAATAAAAGCACCAACACAATGATTTGGATACTTGTTGTCAATGAATGCGTAGCGCCTTCAATACGCCACATAAATCCCAGTATATTCCAGTCCCGAACACAGGCAAAAGTCGATGCGGGCTGCATCGAGTACAGGAAGGTGGGCTGTTTGTGGATTCATAACCAGTGACAAACAGCATGAAATTACGAACAAGAATCCAAGAAGCTGTTGTTGTTATCTGGGTGTCAACATAGAAATTAATGGCAAGCGATTAGTGTATTTTTCCTAAAGAAAAGGAAAATCCTGGACCTGATCGCTTGTCTTTCCCTGCAGGCATCAAAACTATTTGAAGTCATGGTTGCAGTGTTTGGAGGGATTGCAAGATGTCGCAAGCACTCCAACCTAACCAAATCTTGATTGATCATCCAATCTGGCCAAGAAGTTGAGTAACTTAATCAACACGCATTGGGACTGCATTAGAAATTATGGAACTACAGAACAAGAAAACACCTGTACAAGTTCAGCAATTTCTCAGAAATGAAGCTTGCATGGAAAAGGGTAAAAACAAATTTACATATCCACTACCCGAAGAAAGATCAACTTCTTCGTGAATCATACCAAAATTTATTCACATGTAATGCTGCAGTATCAAATATATATTAAAAGGGTATTGAAATCTTAAATTATAAAATTTCAGCTGTACCACTGTCCAGTGTCTATCCTTCGAAGACATAGGATAGGTTGCCATCGCCAGCAATTTAGCCACCGCAGTTGATCAGATCCCAGCTGTGGTTGCTCAATCCACCGCTCAAAAAGAAAACTGGATTGTATCTCGTTTTGGGTAGGCGTGAGTTCACCCAATCTGGCCCTAGTTTTAAGCATGATTAGCAGCAGCAGCTGAGCTGGTGGTGGTATTAATAATAATAAAAAAACTCATCTCTCTCTCTCTTTCCCTTCACACACGCTAACTGCAACGCGTGCAACCCCATCTCACCAATCACGTTGCATTTCACGATAATATATATATATATATATATATATGATGTGCTTACTCTTTATCCAAATAATATTTCTAACGATATTATATCATATTCCACGTCAACGTTTTGCAATCATCCGCTTATCCATTCCACGTGAGAGACGTGTGATGGTTGGTATATATATATATATATATATATGATGTGCTTACTCTTTATCCAAATAATATTTCTAACGATATTATATCATATTCCACGTCAACGTTTTGCAATCATCCGCTTATTTTTTCCACGTGAGAGACGTGTGATGGTTGGGGTGGTCTGGGCCCCTGTTACCGGGACCTACATTTTTGCATCATCCACATATCCATTCCACATAAATCTAATATGATGATGAGGACTCATGACTGAAGAAGCAAATTGATATTATTTTAATTATTCATTGTTAAAAAAAACTATCCCTTTTTGTCTTTTGCGTTTTCTTCCCTTTTTTTTTTTCATTCTGACTTTTTTTCTTCCTTTTTATAATTTTAAATTTGGCATTCTTACTCCTTATATTTTTTTGATATTTTTTTGGTTGATTTTAATGGTGGTAAAAAATATTTTTTAATTTTTTTTATTATTTATCATTAAAAAAAATTAATTAATAAAAAATACTTTTTTGTTAAAGAAAAATTTAACTTTGTTTTTAAGAAAGTATTTGGCTTTTATTTTAGAAGAAAAATACTTTTTAAAAGTTGTGAAAATTTTAGAGATATCATATTATTTGTTGATTATATCAAATTTGATTATTAAACTTTTAATTACTATATATATTTTGTTTTTAATATTTTTTTCTTCAATTTTATTCTTTAAAATTTGAATTTCATATCAACTTTGATCATTTTTTTATAATTATTTTTTTTATTAAAATTTTTGATATATCAAATTTCATCCTTATTCTTTTGATTGTTACTTATTTTATTTAAAATAATTTATGAAAATATTATTATTATTATTTTAATTTTTTTATCTTTTAATTTTTTTATTTGTTAATTTCTCTATTATTTATTTTATTTAAAATAAGTTATAAAATTATATTTTTTTAATTTATTGTCAATTAACCCTTTAATATGTAAGATTTATTTTTTATTATTTTAATAAATTATTTTTCAGCTCATTTTCTATGACATAATTTAATATTAAAAAATATTTTCTAATTTATATTTTATTATACTTTCAAATATCAAAAAATAATTTTTTTTAAAAAAATTATATTTTAAAAAAATTATTTTCTATTAAATAAATAGAACGTAGATTTAAACGTGGAAGTCTTCTCTCTCTCTCTTTTTTTTAAATTAAATAGTGGAAAACAAAAAAAAGTCATGTCCATGTCACGCACCGAATTTACTTTTCTATTTTAGGAATAAAAGCTCAAAATCTCACAACGATTTCAAATCAACACGGAAGTAAAAGGGGGCACCAAATGCATGTTTGAAAAATCACCAATTTAGTCGTGATGTGATTTTACATCCTTCCCCTTTCTATACTTTGATCAAATCGCAGAATAATCACACACTCACCTCGATGACCACAACAGCCACGTCATCTCTCCTCTTCACCATCGCCCGCCCTACACGCACGGAATTTTATAATAAAACAAACATAACACTCAGCAAATTAAGTGTTTTTTAAAGGAAACAATTTGACTGGCTCGTTCTCTCTCTCTTGATAAGTTATAAACCATCGCCACCATCGAACCAGTTCTTGATCATACTACATGGCTGAGCTGACTCATCCCGAGGTGGTTTACTCACCACGGTCAATTCAATTATGGAGGGCACTGTGGAACTGTCTTGCTTTCTTCTTCCGGATCTTTTTGCAGATCCTTAGAGCCCTTGGACCTCAATCTCTCTCTTCTCCTTCTCATACTTTCAAGCCCTTGCCTCTTGTCGAGTTGCCTGAGACAACCGATCCTCCTCTCGCAACAGTCGAGATCCCCGCCGGCACCGACGCCATTTCCGCCAACGAGCCTATCCAGAAACTCACCGTATGATATCGATTTTCTCTGGTTATGATAGTTGCTCTCAAAGAAGGTTCTGTATGTGTTCTGATTTATGCCTATCATAATAATAATAATAATAATAATAATAATAATAATAATAAAAGGATGAGTTATTTTTTCAAGAGGTTTGTGATTTCTATGTTTGCCGGGTTATGTATTTTATGACATGGATAGATATGGGGAGTTAATTAAAGCTTAATTAAGGCCAAATTAAGATTAAGATGTTAGTTACTAGAATTAGCAGTCAATAGTAATAGATTGGGAAATTCTAGTTTTAGCTTTCATGAACTATTACTAGTACTATTTAGAGGAGTGTTGCACGTTGGTGTGGATTTAACAATTTGAGAAATCATGTTCACGAGCTAAATCTATATATATATATTTTTAAAAAAATTCTATGTGATAAAATGTGCATTCTTGTTTTTATTCAATGATAAGGGATATCTTCAGGTCAGCTTACATGCTAACCGAGACCAAGTCCCCTCCTCGGGACCCAATACAATAACCTGATACATCAGGAATTTAATAAATTCCCCTGGATAAAGTGCGCTTTAAAGATGCTTCAGATTGTTTTAGTGTCTTATGTTTTCCCATTGTAAATGATATGTTTTCGTGCTCGTAATTGTCTACTCTTAGCTTTCTTGTATTTTGGATATTTTATGTAGGTTATGTTACTGATATTTATTTATGGTTTTCTTACATCTTCCATTAAATCTTGAACATTTGAAGTTATAAAAGGATTACTTTTTTGGGTTCCAAGCTTTGATTTTGTCACTCGGAACGTGAGTTAGTTAATTACTGCTGTGAAATCTCACTATTGATTTTTTGTATGGTAATGTGCCGAGAGGGTTTAAAATTCTGAGGTTATGCATTGATATGTGTTGTTGGTCTTTGGTATTTAACTTTATAATCTGTAAAATCATTGTGCGAAAGGTGTTTAGCAGGGTTTTTCTCTATCTTCTCTCTTGCTGCTTCTTTAAAAACAGTAATTCAACATGACATTGACTCCAGAATATGTACTGCAGGTGGTTCTTGACTTGGATGAAACTCTAGTATGTGCTTATGAGACATCTAGTTTGCCAGCGCTTCTGTGCAATCAAGCAATAGAAGCTGGATTGAAGTGGTTTGAGCTGGAATGTGTATCTTCAGACAAGGTTCTTATATGCAAGTCATTTTAAGTAAAATTATTGAAGTTAGACTATTTTGACTTGAGTATGTTGGGATTTGAAGGAATGCGAAGGGAAACTTAAGATCAATTATGTTACGGTATTTGAGCGTCCAGGGTTGGATGAATTCCTAAAACAACTCAGTGAATTTGCAGAGCTTGTGCTATTTACAGCTGGCCTTGAAGGTCTGATATTTACTTCACCATGCATCTGGCTGCTATGCTCACTGTATCGGCTGTTAGCTCTTCTGCCTTTATTATTATTTTCTTAGTGAGTTCGAAAGACTACCTTTGGCACCATTTGGGAACGCGGTGCAAACGGCGTTATCTAAAAATTCAATTTTTTTTTGTTAAAAATTATTTTTTTGTGTGTTTTAGATAATTTTTATGCTCTGATATTAAAAATAATTTTTTTAAAATGAAACAACATCATTTTGATGCATTTTGGCATGAAAAATACTTTGAAAAGCAACCGCAACCACTCTCCCAAATAGACTCTTTTGAATATTTGCAGGTTATGCCAGACCACTTGTTGACAAAATAGATGCAGAAAATCGATTTAGTCTACGTCTTTATCGGCCTTCAACAACTAGCACGTAAGCTCGAGTTGTTGTTTTCATATTTTTCTGGTCTTTCTTACATAATCTATTTCCTTTCTTGAGTTTGTAACTGCTGATAGCACACTAGTTATTTGAAATTCAGGATATTTACTTCTCTAGATAAAAAGGCTTCTCAAAAGGACAAGTGGAACTTGTGCTCTTGTACTTTTAGTTTGCCAAATACACAAGCATACACCAGTTAACAATATTCTACCATGAAGTATGCACACCTATTTTGAATTAGACATAAGTTATGACCATCACATTGCTTAAGTGATTTTATTGGAAACAGTTAAAATTCTTATAATATTTTGGAAGAAATCTTTTTTTCTGACAGTCTTGGATATTAGAGTTTCTCTAAATGTTTTTATCTGGATGCTTATTATGCTAGATGAACAATATGTGGTGTGAATGGTCTCTATACTTTACAGAAAAAACTGATATTATGAAATGAATTAGGTATGATCGTGCAGATTTTACATTTAGCAGGTCGACTTAAGTTACTATATGATTTCATGTTAAGTAAATTCTATGCAATCATTTGATGTATCTGTCTGTGAATAAGAGTTATACATGGTAAAGCTAATTCTTGAAAATTTCTTACAAGATTAAATATCATTTACCTCACGCAAGCTAAAGTAGTTACATATTTAATGCTGGAATTTTTCTCAATGCTCAAAACAAGGTTTTACATATTCTATAGAAATTAAGTTCATGCTCACTTCAGAAGACACATTCTAGACAATCTTGATTAGACTGGGGCTATCACTATGTTGAATTTTGAGTTTAGTTTGTTTTTCTTATTACTGAAACTAGATTTTTTATTCTCCCGATAATTGCCTGTGTAATGGTGCTAATGATTTCATATTTAACCCACCCCCCACCCCCACCCCCACCCTGTAAATAAATAAAGAAGAGATCGAATTCTATGCAGCGATCTATTATTGATACTGTATCACATACTTATACAAGGCGATTGCTTTACAATAAGAAAGAAAAACTCTGCAGATCTCCTATTCTAAGTAGGAGACTTTGATTTCTGATCTCTCAACACTCCCCCTTAAGTTGGAGAGTGAATATCCTGCACTCCCAACTTGCAAACCATACAGGCATAAAGATTTCTTTTCCAAGGGGCTTGGTCAAGATGTCTGCTAGCTGATGTGCAAAATCCATGTCAATTCACAACAAGCTGATTCTTGGTGTGAAATTCTCAAATCCCTTAATAGATGGCGCAGCCATGTCAATTCACAACAAGCTCCTGTCATTGCACGGTGTTCTGCTTCAGCTGAGGAGAGAGACAGTTTTCTATCTCTTTGATTTCCAAGATATCAATGATGATCCAAGAAAAACACAATAACCCGTTGTGGATCTTCTAATGAGTGGGCATCCCAATTTGAGTCACAATAAGCCCTCAACCTGAAGTCACTATTTGAAAAGAAGAATAATCCTTGGTTGGGTGTCTTTTTTAGATAACAAACAACCCGAAAAGTTGCCTGCATATGAAGTTTCTGGGGTTGTTGCATAAATCTACTCAGGACATGTGCTGCATAAGTTATGTCTAGCCTTGAAATAGTTAAGTAAATTAATTTGCCAATCAGTTTTCTGTACCGGTTTGGTTCTTTGAGTAAGGTGCCTTTGTCTGATAATTTCAACCCTCGTTTTATAGGAGTATTAGTTGGGGCAGCACCCAGCAAGCTTGTATCCGCAATGATTTCTAATGCATACTTATGCTGGGAAATAAAAATCCCTTTCTCGGAAGCCGAAACCTCAATTCTAAGAAAATATTTCAAAATGCCAAAGTCTTTGAGATGAAAATGGTTATGCAGAAACTATTTAGTTGCAGCAATTTTAACCGGATCATTCCCAGTAATTAGAATATCATCAGCATATATCAAAAGAGCAGTAAAGGACTCACCTTGTTTGCTGGTGAACAAGGAATAATCAGCATGAGATTGTATATAGCTAGCAGAGCAAATTGCTTTTGAATACTTTGCAAACCATTGGTGAGATGCCTATTTCAACCCGTATAATTACTTATGAAGGCGACAAACGAGATGGTTCTCTCCCTGTTGCCGAAGCCCTGCTGGTGGTGACATGTATATTTCTTCAGCTAAGTCACTGTGGAGGAAAGCATTGTGGATGTCCAGTTGGTGGAGAGACCAACCACAAGATGCAGCCAAGGCAAGTAAGCAGCGGACAGGGATGGTTTTAGCTGTGAGAGAGAAGATATCGTGAAAGTCCACACCTTCTAGTTGTGTGAACCCCTTAGCGACCAGACTTTCTTTTTAGCGCTCAATAGAACCATTGGAACGGTGTTTAATTTTATACATCCATCTCAACCAATTAGTGTCTTTCCACCGGGAGTGGTGTGAGGGACCAAGTACCATTATACTGAAGAGCCTACAATGCAGTATGCATAGCTTCTTGCCATGCAGGGTGAGCAACAACTTCGGAATAGGATCTGGGTTTTGTGACAGTATGGAGTTGAGCAATAAAAGATTGATTTGTAGAGGTATAGAGGTGATAAGAAACAAAATTAGTTAGTGGATAACGTGTACCTTTAGTCGGACTTAATAGTAAGGAGGCCAATTGGTGGGAGTAAATATTGGAGCAGAAGTAATCGTGAAGCTTGGCTGGTGGGACAATGTGTTGGCTGGAGCGATGAAGCAGAGTGGCATTAGATGTGGGTTGGGGAGGCTGATTGGTGAGGGAAGGGTGGGGGTGTGGGGGAGGCTGATCAGGTGGTGGTAGTGAAGGAGGGGCAAAGAAGGAGAGAAGGAGACTCTGATCAGAAACACACCCCCATCATGATGATTGTATTTATTTATTAACCGCAATGGATTTGCTTGGTTTCAATAATGTGTTCCAATTCTTCATGAGTGCCTTATGCCACTCACTTTTAGTTCTTCCAACTCATTTTGTAGTTTTGAGTGGATGTGAAATTTTGATGATAAAGATGTTAATTTCTGATAATTATAGTTTTTAAACCCGACTCGGTAGTTGACCCAGTCTAATGATCAGGTTACAGGTTCGATGAGTTGACTCAGGGGAAACCAACCATAACATAAGCTATGGATGAGGAGTAAAAAAGGAAAACAGCTAGAGAAAGAAGATGCAGCAACTGAAAAGCATTCAGTTCATTTTTCTACTTATTTTCATTGTTAGAGAGGCAAGGCTGAGTTCATAAGGGAAAAGGAAACGTCAACTCAACAATGCAACACCAAATTATTTTGAAAAACAAAAAGTTTAGAAAAAAAAATACATACCAAGCTCTGCTTCAAGACCCCCACTATAGCATCTTCATTAGCATCCAAAGACATTATCGGCCTAGCTAAAGTTGGAAGTGCAGATTCTATCTGATAAGAGCAAAACAGAAATAAGATTCGTCCACAGAATAGAGCATCTCTATTCTTCAAACATCATGACCAAGTTTTTCAGCACAAGAAAAATCAAGAAATGGTAACAAGCAATAAATGCTGTTGATGCAGATGGCTCTGTTATTCAAATGATTGATTTCCCACCACATTAAGTACATGAATGCAACCATTTGCATAAATAACAATGGGAGCATTATTGATACCCAATAAACCCATAGCAAGAGTAAAACTGGTACATGTTAAAAAAAATTATGTTACACAGACAAATAACAGATGCAGTTCAAAAGACATACTGGTTGGCGATCAAGAGTTGACATGAGTGCAGAATGATCCCTCACTGAGCGCTCAATTCTGGCATCGCTCTCTGCAGCTTGCTTTAAGTTGGCTGCAAGCCTATTTAATCTATCCTGCAAGTTCTTTGTCAAAGTGCTGGATGGGGGCCTAGTCCACCGTGTCCCAAATTGACTTCTAAATTGGGCATCTTTCGTTGCTTCCTTTTGCAAAAGTTCCTCGGTCTGAACCAGCAATTCTTGGTTTACCCTCCTCAAATCCATAAGTTGCTGGAACTCAGCTTCAAGGCCAGCTGGCCCCCCACTAATCTGCACTGCTTCCACATCTTCTTTAAGATCTGTTGGAAGTGTAGAGTTCTTCCAAAGAAAGAATTGAATCTGGCAGGTCCATTTCTTTGAGCTTCACTTGAGTTAGCTTACTCCCTTGTTGCAATTTTTCGGCTTGTGTCCTGATAATATCATCGACCATTTCAGTGTACCTTGAAAGAGCTTTCATTACAGTGTACCTTGAAAGAGCTTTCGAGATTTCTTTAATTAGGTGTTTTGCTCGTTCTGTCTTCAATTCTTCATGTTTTGGCCGTAAAAGGCCAAAACGATGTTATTTCACGTGTGTGTGTGTGTGTGTGTGTGAGGCCTTTTAACTCGGGTCGATCCATAGAGTAGACCGGGTTTTTCCAGGTCAAATCCCTGGCTGTTTTTTACTTAGACCCAGCCTGGCTCCAGGCCCGGGTTGACCGGGTCCCGGGCCAGGCCAGGTTTCAAAACTATGCTGATAATGACACAGTATGATTCTGTGATTAAGTTAAGCAAATGCACATACTTTGTATAGTTGATTTATTTCTAAATGAAGGAATTAACTTTTCTTGTATACTTACGCTCAAGATTCATTTTTTAGTTTTGAAAACCTTTCATGCTGTATGTGAACACTGAACAGGGAGTATCAGGAGCATGTGAAAGATCTCTCATGCATATCAAATGATCCATGCCGGATTGTTATTGTTGACAACAATCCATTCAGTTTCTTGTTGCAACCACTAAATGGAATTCCATGCGTTCCATTTTCTGCAGGACAACCACATGATACACAGGTAGGAATATCTAAATTACTTAAATTCATAATTATTTCCTAATCTTGTTTGTTCATTTACTCAAACCACCTCTCTATCCATTTTTATGGGCTGTTCAGCTTCTGGATGTGCTTCTTCCACTCCTCAAGCACCTCTCTCAGCAGAACGATGTGAGACCTGTACTCTCTGAAAGATTCCACATGCTTGAATGGTTTCAGAAGCAAGGAATCCCTGCTTCTGGTTGGACGTAGCAGGAGAAAAGATCATCTGCAACTGAAAGCAGCCCTCCTTTGTACCATCCACAGTTACTTCATTCGAAGCCAGCAACTTATTGTAGGAGCGATGGATTTTGTATAGCATTAATTTCTCTTGCAGAGGCATTGATGAAAGCTGAAGTAACACAGCTTCAGAAAAAGGATTTATCTGCTGCTTTTATTGGTCAAATAGGTACAGCATTTATGTCTGTAGATTTGTTAATACTCCGATTCTTGTTGTAACTGTGTTTATATGTTCGCACCTTGCAGTCTGCTTGATTGTATATGTATCTTTTAGACTTCTGTATATCTGCACCTCGTTAACAAAGGTTGGTAGTTTACTCGTTAGTCTCAGTAGCAGTGCAGCTGGTTTATAAGGAGTGTTTATTGCTTGAATGTTCCATGTTCCATGTCACGTGGATAGTTATGATGAGCTTCGGAGAAATTAAATTGCTGGACATTTTCCTGGAATGAAAAATATCAGAAGAGAAGAAAGACCGGTCTTGTTTGATGTCTGCACATCAACTGCACTGACCAAGCTAATTAAGCAGATAAGCTTTGTTGTACTGGTCTTTTTTTTTTTGCGCCGAGATGCTTCCATTTTTCTACCCTACTGGCCGTGGATCCACCCTTTCAGGCCGTCAAGAAGCATGGCTATCCCCTGCTGGCAGGCTGCTGCTCATTTGTTTTGGATCTTGTTGACCTGGTTTGCCTAACATTTGCCTTGAACTCTCCAGCTGTTCTAAGAAGGAAAGTAAATTTACCTACAATTCTTTAATGGGCTTTCAAGATGAACTTGTGCCAAATTCCCTTTGCCAGGTTTGATAGAGTGATGTTGTGTACCACTAGAAATTGTCTGGCTGTGCAGCAACGCAGCATAGAAGGAAGACACTGCATTGGCACATGGGCGGCAGCGACTTTGCCTGGTCGATGATCTAGCTTTGATATAATAATTATGGACCAAGTAGCACTCCGACATGATGTTAGGAACTTGACCGCGTTCACAGGTTTGCATGTTCCTAAAGTTTATATATGGATTAGCAAAACCATCCTAGAATTTGTGATTGTTTATATGGTTGTTTCTATGTCTGAAGGAAAAGTTGGTGTTTGATAAAGTATAACACGTGATTTATTGTTTATGGGACTTAGTATTTTTTGTGTTTAAAACATAAGATAATTGAAAGCAGCTCCAGGAAATGAACAGTTCCGAGTAAATTATAATTTATTTTGCACATAAAAGTGAATAATACCGAGTGAATTTTTATTTTGTATTGTTTACGTGAACAGTAAAATATTTTAATTTTTAATTATATTTTATTTGAAAAATTAGTAGTTAATATTATTCAATGATATACTATATAAATTAAAAGGAGATCATATAATGGTATAATATTTGCAGAATTTGATTGTAATTTCAATTTTATTCTCAATGATATTTTACTTGATTTTATTGTACGCTTAAAAAGTCATGAAAACTTTAATTCTTGTCGGATGAATTTCGTACGTGATGAAATTATAAATAATTTAATGAAATAATAAAAAATATTTTATATAAAGTATTATTTATTTTATAATATAATAACAATAGTTAAATCTATAATATTTAAATTAAAAACTATTAATATTAATATATATCTTTTTTAGTTAATTTATAATATCAATTTAAAAAATATTCTTAACCAAATATATTAAATTATTTTTTATTTAACTTTAAATTCAATCATAATTTTAACCAAATATATATAAATATCAAACTAATCTTAATTAAAAATATTTTTTTTTTAAAAAGACGAGTAACAACAGATAATGTGTTGGATATTTTATACTGATTGATATTTTAAATAATTGCACAAGTACAAGAATTTTGACGACTTGGAGTTTAGGCAGCAATGCTAACTTCAGCAGTGACGTGCTTGATTCCGTCATATTTCAGGATCAAACTAATCATTCAAATAAGCTAGTTAAAAGGGGATTCATCACTTTACGACTCTTCTCGGTTTATTTTTGCCACCTTGTGATGAAAACAGGACAACTTTCGCTAGCTTTGCCGCTATATAAATTGGAAGGTGCATAATGTTGAGTCATCCTTAAAATGTTATGTTCAGTCCAGTTCCAGTCAGTATACCTGGCAATCATTCTAAAAAGAAAGACTTAATTATCAAACATGGGTGCTTTGCTTCTAACAATCACAAGGAAATTAAGTGCGGGGAGGAAGAGCCCGGAGACAAATTAACCTAAAAGCAAAGGAAGCAAAAACAATCCTTCAATTATATCAGGTTGACAAAAATACGAAAACACAGAATGCCCGGGCCTAGAAGGTAGAAATCGATATAAAAGAAGGAAGCCAATTAACTGTCAGTTCAAGAATAATGAAGAAAAAAGAAACAAGAAAACAAGTCATTCTTGAGCAGTAGTGATGATGTGCCAGAGTATCTTGCATGTGAATGCCATCCACTACACAAGGAAAACTTGATAAATGGTGTTAATTGCAAGAAAGACAGAACTACAGAATTGTAAAAACCAATTATCACAGCCTGTAAATTATTATACGCAATAACAATTAAGCTCTTGATTGTAAATTAAGGATGCTTCAAGCGTTTACTTTCCCTAAAGAATTGTTTTCCTGCAAATTATTATACGCAATAACAATCAAGCTTTTATTGTAAAGGATGCTTCAAGCGTTTACTTTACCTAAAAAAATATTCTTCAATCATGGCTTTCTTTACATGCACAACACCCTGGTTTGACTATGTGCCTTCACCTAATTTATTTGTCACTCGGAGTTGCTGACATGTGTTTATCAATACGAGCTGTTCTTCAGATTCCCTTAGCAGGAGCCACTAACGCATTATAAAATGGAAGCAAGGATCACAAGCCAGGTTAACTGGTGCCTTTTGCTCATTTAATTGGATTTGATCCCAGAATCTATGAAATGATTACAGCGCTATTCTCCAGATTTTCCTGGTACAAATTGAATCCTCCATGCATCATATACGGGGGAGAGATTTTGCGTTTTGACTTGGATTTTATTTAGAGGTGGAGGTTATTATGTATTGGAATCATGGTTTAACTTTCCAAGAAAAGGAAAGTATCAAGCATTTCTGAATCAAATCCTTGTTGATATTATGAGATTGGGGAGGGCAGACCGTAACATCATGGACAATAATGCTCGGTCAAAGGCTTACATGGAAACGTAATTATGTGAGCGAAAGCTTTTCTATTTTATACCAGCAGAACATCACGAGAGAACAGTATTGCTAAGTGGAGAGTTTCTCAGTGAGAAAACATTACTAATTAGAGAGGGATGATAAATGATTATTTCATGTTTATTTAATTATGATAATTTTACATTCAAATTATACATACAAACAAATTCAATTGGTTGTCTGAACACGGAATGTATTTTAATGTTTCAACTGCCCCACGAGGCAACTTCCTTTTTTCTTTTTAGAAAACAAAACAAAATATCTTCACAAGAACTTATTTTTATATTTTTAAAAAAATTAAATTTTTTATTTTATTATTTTACATCAAATCAAAATTTTTAATGTTTTTGTATTTTGTTTATGTATTGATATCAAATTTTAATTAAAAAATAAAAATAATATTATTTTAATAAATTTTTAAATAAAATACACTTTAAAAAAAACAACAAATATAAAATACACACAAATTAACTACTGTCACCTGAAAAGTTTTAACAGTAGAAAAAAGAATGACTACATTGAACTTTTGTGTTTTTACTTTTTACTCATGCTGGGCTTTTGTCTGTGGTCAAAACACAGCATTCATCACAAAAACAAGACAGAATCTGCCCCCCTTGGAATAAGTTGACCTACCTAATTTAACCTAAATCGGTCAAGTCTCGAACCTTAAATTTGTTGCAAAGTTGTAATGATTAGAGTGTGAAATCAATACAAGTTCTGGAAAGTAGGGATTCGGGAATATTATTTATCAAGGTGTTACGTTTTCAAAGACCACCAACCCCAAATTAAAAATATATTAGAGCTTTGCTCATAGCAATTAGCATGAACAGATTGAAAACGTTGAGTAATACTCCCTCGTTCAAATTTGCCTGGTTCATCGCTTGAATCTTGTTCTTAAATTGCATCAATATTTTATCTGTTTATACGAAACAGACATCACCTTTTTAAGAGAACAGTCAAGCATGTCAGATTGAAGTTGTTTTCGGCGGGCTAATCCGCCGACTGAGATGACGATGTCAAGAATTTGCTCGGAGATGTTGTATTTTGTAGACAGCATTTAAAAATGAAGAATTTCGTAAGAACTGTGCAACTCTTAATTCCCATGAGTCTCTGTCAGACGTGTTTGGATCTCCAATAAAAAGGTAAAAAAGAAACCTAGAGAGGCAAGTTAACAAATTCACCGAAGAACAAGAAACCCATCCATGTTTCACTCTTTGCTTTCATTTTCTTCCCTTCTCTCTCTCTCTTAAATCAAGCAAGCCAGTCGTGAAACTCATGCTATATGACCCAGTTAGATTACATCAAATCTTGAATATAAGATTTACGGATTATTCCTTCTAATCAGTGACAATTAACCTCTTAAATAATAATAATTTCCATGTAAAATAAAACTCGAAATGATACGTCTGCTTTTTGAATAGCTTCCATATTTGATTTGCAGCCTTCGTGGTCAAGAATTGCCATCTGCATGTTTCGTAAAACAATTTGCCTTTGCATTGCTTACGTGTTTCTTTCTTTATTTATTTCCTCTTTTTTTTTTTTTAATTTTCAATCGAGCATGAGAAGAAATGATATGATTTTTTTATTAACTCAACGACATTGATAGCCAATGTGCATTCAAAGAAGAAATTACCATTTTGATTTTCGTTTCAATTGTGTAGATTGAGGACACTTATCATTTTGATTTTCGTTTCAATTGTGTAGATGGAGGACACTTCTCATCAAAATTATATGATTTTTTTATTAACTCAACGATAAGGGGTATTTTTTTTATTAACTTGCACATTAATTAAAACTATATTTCTTTTCAAAGTGATTTTAATGAAAAATTAATAATTCTTTCAAGATGCTAGTACTTAGGTGTCGTTTGGTTATAAGAATAAAATGTCTAGGATGACAATTAATGGAGGAATGAGAACAGGAATCAAGAAATCGGAACACGTTTTAAGTCCAATACCATCAAGTTTTTTTTTTTTTTTAAAATAAATTTTCTTATATCATAATTTATAATTTTCCCTAACGAACACCCTATATATATTCCCAATTAAGGCTCAACTACGATTTCTTTCCAAATTTTTCAGAAACAGCGAACCATGAGAAACACATATGAGGTTGGTCGCACCTCCAAATCAAACTGTCCACTCTATAAAAAAATTATCATTTACCTTTTTTAAAGAAAACTTTCCAAACACATCCTTAGAAACAAAAACTCTTAACAGTCAAGAAAATAAAAAACTCAAACGAGCTGAAAAAGCCATGTAACCTGCACACAAGACTTGTTATGAGAACTTAAAACCCCCCCGGTCTCTCCTCCCCCTCTCTATGAGCTCTTCATTCTCTTATTAATTTCAAACGCAATAAAAACTGATAGACATTCAGTACCTTAAAATCTCCGCTCTCTCTCTCTACCAATGAAGCCTACCCGTCACCCGTCACCCACCTCCTCTACCACCACCGGAAATCTCCACTTCTATACATGACGAAACCACACCTCTCCGCCACTGTCCTCTCCGTCACCACCCTCTCACTTCTCTCCTTCATCTTATCATCTCCATTTCTAACCCATGCCTTGGGCTCCGGCTCCACCCTCGCGGTCATCTCCGCCACCTCCACCGTCTGTGGAGTCGCCGCCTCCCAACCATCCCAAAGTATCACCTGCTATAGACGAACCCCCATCGCCGAAATCATCACCGTCCACCCTAACGTCTCCTTCTCCGCCATCTCCGGCGGTTCCACCTTCTTCTGCGGTCTTCGTTCTGGGGGCTATGCTTTCTTATGCTGGGACACATCGAATTTCTTTTTTGAAACTCGAAGAGTCTATGTTAACAACACCGCCCTTCTACAAAACCTCTCTGTTGGCGATAATCAAGTGTGTGCTATTGTTAATGACACATCGAGTGTCAACAAAACTGGGACCGTTATGTGTTGGAGGGGAGATGGTAATGCAAGTAGACAATCACCAAGCGAAGGCGATAAATTTAA